CCACACCCTTTCCTTCCCCCCCCCCAGACATATTGACCAGATGCTGCCCTCCAAGCTGCTGAGCTGCATTCCTGGCCACGTGCATGCTGCAGCTGTGTGCATGCATGCGGCATTTATCGGTGACATTCATCGGCTACATCAGCCAAAAAAAAGCCGATTGCTAATAATGTCAAGTTTCCTTTCATCGGTGCCGATATGATATGGACCAATATAGTGGTGCACCTTTACTATATAGAAGGTTCAGACGGATTGAAATTATTCCCAACCCTGATGGCTAGAGACAGAAGTTACACAAACTGGCTTAAGTGATCAGAAACTGGTTTAAACCTGTACCAGAACATAAGTTCAGTGCACATAAAGCAGCTTCAAAACGGCTGAAACTGGTTTAAGATAAACTTCGTTGAATGTAGTATCATTCTTAAATAATTGAGGTCAAACCGGTTTATGGAATTTCTGTCCCAGACCCTCTCCCGGTTTAGGTTAAATCAGAGGCCCCCAGCAACCCAACATGCTTTTCAACTCTGGGCTGTGCTGTGGCGTCTGCCTCAGACAGCAGGGTTGGCGCCACCCCTCTGCTTTCTAGCCAGAGCAGGAGAATGGCCAGATGCTGACCAACCATGGTCCCCTGAAGCAAAGAGGGCAGCGAGGGGGTTTATGCTCTCCCCCTGCAGGGGACCCCAGCCTGGGTGGGCCTGACCAGGGTGGAGCAGCCCCTGTCAGGCATTCCGCCCCCCTCCCCCTCACCACAGGAGCTGTGGGGACACGGCCAGCCCCAGCAGCAGCCTCAAGCAAGAAGGGGATGGAGAGAGGTTTAATTTCCCCCTCCCTCCCCTGTCCCACCGACATGGACCCCAGCCAGGCTTTTCCCCGCTTCTGCTAGTGGATCAGAATGGCCAGGGACCCCCAGAGGCCCTCTCCCAGACAGGGTGCAATCCCATTGCACCTTCCCAGCCACCGGGGCCGAGGTTTTGCTTGGGACAGCCAAGGAGCAAAGGCCAGATCAGGGAAGGGAGGGGACAGCAACCAACCCCAGACGGAGACATGCACAGAGGAATCACAGCAGTTCCATCGGGGGCGCGGCTCCAGTGTTGGCACTAGCCCAGGGCAGAGCTGAACCAAGCATGCAACTGGGGGAGCAGCTCCTGCCCAGTAGCCCTTTCTACCCACTCAAGAACGGCACCTAGGCCAGCCCCCTCGGCAGCATGCACAGGGCGGACTCACTATTACCTGCATCCCCTGGGCCAAATGAGCTGGGCATGCACTGCTGACTCTTCCCCTACCCAACAGCAGCAACGCAGCACTGTTCTGTGTACCAGGTGCAAGGCTCTACCCCTACAGCTTCTCTGCTACCACTGCCATCAGGTGGGCTTGCCCTGGCCA